AACTAGATAGTGTCACACCCAGCACAGCGTAGGCACTGAATGTAGAAGTATGAGCATTTAAAAATAGCCACAGTTTATTTGTACTGAAATGAAACCACCTCAAATTCTGTATAGGTGTTATATCAGTGGTCAGACTTGCCCTCACTTTACACATGAGATTAAAGAAAATTGCTTCAAGTTAATCTGGGAAAAGACAGTCCATATTTAAATCCCAGGTCTGCCTACTTGAAAGGCCAGCTCCTACCTGCCACAGTGTCTCTCTTCTCCCTCTTTCCCTTCCCTCGCAGGCCCCTATGGCCTAGAGCAATCCAGGCATAGCTAAGTAGAAAAGAATCTCAGACACAGTCCTTAGGCCTGAGGTTAAGCTCTGCTCTGTCTCTGCTGCCTGCGTGACCTTCCTTCCGCAAACTTCCTGAGCTCTGGCAGTTGTTTTTCGCTTCCCCATAAAACAAGGGAAGGCACAGAGATGCCTTTGCAGGTGTTTTTGTGCGAGAAATCCTACAAGTTGACAAAGCAGCACCCACTGTGGTGTCTCAGTTCATCCAGTGTGAGCAGTCCGCATGAGGGTTGTTCGTTAACTCTCAGAAAGTCGTAAATGCAACAGTTTGTGTTAAACCTAGCTTGTGAAGACGACTGGGAATCTTAAGGCCATGATAAAACACTTTAAGATTTCTAAATGCTTTTTAGATAAGTGAAGAAGTGCGCAGGGATTCGCCCTAGGACAGCAGCTGCCGCGTGTTTAAAGAGTTGTTCCAGAATATTTTGAAATAACAGAAAAATCTCATTCTGGCAACATAGCCCTTTCTGTTTTTGCTGAACCCATCTTAGCCTGCAGTTATAGGAGGACTTGGTAAATATGCTGAAGCAAATCCAGGGGTATTTTAAAGAATTCTTGTGCTTCCTACAGAGACGTGGAATTTTAATCACAGAAATTTATGAACTTGGATCCTCCCTTCACGTTACCTCTTGGAATTGAACTTTTGTGTGTGGTGGTCCACTGTTCAGAAAGGGGGACGGGGCGAAGCCACTGCTTCCAGCAGAGAGGACTGATCCATGGGAAGTAGCAGCTTTCTGTGAGCTCGTTATCTGTTTTATCCTTCATTTTGCTTTCGGGCTTTTGCGGATCAGCCTGTCCACTAGGATCTTGAAGGGCTCACCATTCGATCATAATTATTTATGCCCTAATGGGAGTCGCTGTTCTAGAAATCCATTTCCCATTTTGTTTGGCAAGAAAGCAGGGGGACACCCTGCAAAATTAAGGGATTATGAGGAGGAAAACAAGGCAGCATTTCCTCTCCGTGTAGAATCAAGTCTAATAAAACCCGGTAGACAGAGATCAGAATGCTATCTAGAGGACTGGCAGAGCTGGGTCGGGGAACATGGCCAGTGGGAGTTTCTTTTCTGTTCCTCGGCCCTGGGTTCTGACCTCAGGCTTGAGGACAGGTGCATGGGACAGTGTGGGAGGTCAGTGGAAGAAGGGAATGGAAGAAGAGCTGGGGTGTGTGGCAAGCCTGCATTTAGGTCAGTGCGTGGTGTATGACAGCACATGCACATTTTGCTAACATTTCAGCATTTTTGTTTCTCTGACACATAAGCAATCTGATGAATATCAAACCTCTTTGATCAGTATTAAGGAAATTGCCAGAATATAAAATTGGAACAGAGATAGCAGTAAGCCTAATCACACCTGCCAATTCTGATCAGTGAACCTTGGTAGCGGCTATAGAAATGGATGCTGAAGGCCGGCCAGAGAGCTCAGCGGACCAAAGTGCCTGCTTACGCAGAGCACAGCGGCCAGGGTTCGATCCCCAGCAGCAGGCTGTGCCAGGCCTGCCCTTGGGCTGTGCTGAGACAGTGATTGAGACTGGGTGTGGGGTCGTGCGCCTGTAATCCCCGCTCTTGGGAGGCTGAAAACAGGAGGATCACTATGGGTCCAATCTACATAGTGAGACCCTGAACACCATGTAGATCCTGTACCAAATACATAAAAAAAAAAAATGCATATTTAAAAAGAAGCCCATGTCCAGCTTCTGGAAAAAAAGAAAGAAAAAAAAGAAAGAAAGAAATCCTTGATTGAGTAATTATGTCTGCTGCACACACAAGAATGGGTACGGCAAGTTGTACGCTATGCATTTCCATTTCTGTGATAAATGGTCACCTTGATTTTTCCTCCTTACCTCACTGCACTGGAGCAGCGATGAGGCGTAAGACTGCTAACATTAAAACTCTTGCATTTGATTTTTAGGCCTCAGTATGGTGGCAAGTTCTGTCCAGGATCTAGCCGTATCTATAAGCTGTGCAACACTGAACCTTGTAGTGCAAATAGCTTGGATTTTCGAGCCCAGCAGTGTGCAGAATATAACAGCAAACCTTTCCGGGGATGGTTCTACCAGTGGAAACCCTATACGAAAGTGGAAGGTAATTCGTTGTGCGTAACACTCAAATGTCACTGTGTTGATACTAACGGGAGTGAACAACAGGGCCAAAATCGCAGCCGATGTCGGAGCATGTCCTTGTTTACATTTCAGTCCCCAGACTCGTCCTTGTGCATTTCTTTATTAATTTCCACAGCTTTTGTTTATTTTTCCACACCTGTCCCCGCCCAGGAAACCCCTTGTCTCTCACAACTACAAAGGAAAGGATCCATGTGTGTTCACATTTGACATTTCAGCAGTTTTGCCTCCCAGGGATGTTACTTGAAATTGATATGAACTGTCCAGACTGAAAACTCATGAAGCCACATAAGCCCACAGAGACAGCACTGTCAGCAACTGCCGTGGCAGACACTACACAGGGGATGCGACGTGGCTAGAGAGACCGTGTTCATACCTGTGTGCACACAGCCCCAAATACAAATTACCTCCATACTAAGTTCTTTGCGCTTTTTGTACCTTAAAGTGATGACTTACATTTGACTTTTCACATTTGCTTATTTTTATTTTGGCTAACCCCCAAAACATTTCATTTAACTGCAGTAGGAGAATTTGACATGCTTTCTGTTACCTGCGCAGAACAAGCTGTGGCTCTTAGGGTTTGTTTGTTTTTGTTTCTGTTTTTGTTTTGTATTTTGTGCAGAGTCTCACTACATAGTTCAGACTTGTACAGATCCTCTTGTTTTCAGCCTCCCCAGCGCTGGGATTACAGGTGTAAACCACCACACCCCGACTTGTTGTCGGCTCAGCGCACCCAGGGGTGGGGCCAGTGCTGCATGGGGTGCCACAGATCAAACCCAGGCCCCAAGCTGTCACTCTTTTAGTTATTTCCTTCTAGTTGTTACACTGTTAGAGCCTCTTGATTTAATCATAACTTATCTGTGCCAGTTTGAGAATGGACCCTTGAGCCTCTCAACTGAATCTGTATAGAAAGGGAAGTGGCTCAAAACATCTCGGTTACTTCCGGGCTATTGCTGGGCAAAGGCTCCAGGTAGACCTACGTGACTGGTTACCATGGAGCAAGCTAATGCAATTAGAGAAGTCATCATAACAAATAGAGCCTCCAGATGAAAAGGGAGGTGAGTGCGGCTGTGCCTACAGCCTGCCAAGCCATTTCAGGAGTGCTGACCAGGCTTTGGGTCATAGCTGTTTATTTAAAAACATAGGCAGAGATAGACACAAATAATTTGAAAACTGTCTTAGGAAGAAGGGGTGAAGAAATTGGACATTTACTATTGAAAAGAACGTAATTCAGAAATTTGAAGAGACATTGACTAGGAGGGGATCTGGATTTATTTAGAGTTCCTTCAGAGGACACATGTCATTCAAAGGCTAAGAATCTCTCAGATCTCATATTACTTGCTCAGAGAGACCTCCCTCCCTTGCCAGCCCATCTTAAATATTCTCCCTTCGTCTTATTCACCAAAACCTTTCCCTGCTTTATTCTTGATATCTTTTATCAATGCAAGCATGTTTTATCTAATCAATATATTATCTTCGCCCCCACAAGCATTTAGGTTCCACAAGGACTAAGTCTGTGCTGATGAGCATGATGGTACCTTGTGGGTCTTCACAATCTAAGAGCAGCACCCGTATGTGCTCAATGGCTGTGACTTGAAATGTGTGACGAAGTAGTTATCCCTTGTCCACAGTGGACATATGTCTCATTTGGGAGTAGTAAGCTCCCCACCACTGGGGTTATTTTACCTGGTGATGAGTAATCACACGGGCAAGCAGCAGATGCTTAGATAGCGGAGCTGGAGTTGCTCCCAACTCAGCCCCTGAAGACGGACTTTGTCTTGGTTTTATGTTCCCATACTTCCCCGTTTCTTCCCTGTGGGTCTCTCTCTAAGATATGGTTGCCTCTCCCCTCACCTCTCCTCTGTTCTGGGCTTTGGCTTCTGGGCTACTCTGTGGTTTTCCCCACATTACCTCTTTCATTCAAATGCAGCGTGTAGGGAACCTGCTGTGATACTCTCCTTTAAACAGATTCTGTGTTGGATACACAAAGAGAACCTTATGTATAAGGTAACTGAGAGAGATGCAGTAAGTTAAAAAATGCTCCCTGGCTTCAGTGTTCTTTCACTAATTGTATTGCAGTTTTTGCTAAGCAGAGAGCTCCCATTTCCTTCGTTCTCCCTGTGTTGAGCCCTCCCTGCCTAGGAGAGGGTTGAAGAAAGCATCACAGACAGAACTAGGATCGCACATCTTCGTGCAGGGAACAGCAAAGCCAAGGCCCTCTGGTCTGTCTCTTCTTCCTCTGATGCTTGTGTTAGAAACTGATGACTGGAAGGTCTGTGACCTTCCTGAATGTAAGAAAAACAAGGGGAGATGTTCTTCATAAATATAGTCTTTCTTCTACAGTGGTGAGCTTTTATTCCTTCCTGTTATTCTTCTCTCCTTCTCTTTCTAAAGAAGTAGTTCATAAACTTGCGTAGGCAACTGTTGTGGAAAAGCCAAGCTTCCTAGAACTTAATTCCTGGGAATTCTGGGGACAAGAAAGTAGATCTATATCATATCCAACTTCCTAATCTCATATGTGAAAATTAGGAGGCATTAGAAGACCTGTTACTGGGCTGGGCATGATGACACATGCCTGAAATCTCAACACTCTAGAGGCTGAGGCAGGAGAATTGTTGCAAGTTTGAGACCGGTGTAGGCTACAGAGTGAGCTCAAGGGCAGCATGAACTGCATGGCAAGACCCTGTCTCAAAAAGAGAGAGAGAGAGAGAGAGAGAGAGAGAGAGAGAGAGAGAGAGAGAGAGAGAGAAACGTGTTACTTAAAAACAGCATCGTGAAAAGAAGTACTTTTAATTCACCCATAGACTACATATTTCAACCATAACAATTTAATTTCTTTTATGTTTAAATTTTGACTTTCTTTTGTTGAGAAGTTTTATGAATCATGATTGTTTGCAAACTGTTTACATATTTGTTGTAAAACCGTTGTTAGGGATATCGCTCAGTGTCACCTCAGTATGGTCTCATGTGAGAAATAATCATCTGGAATTCTTGGCCAACCGGGGTTCTTTCTCTTGGAACTCATTTCTGATAACTAGAGCTCTGTAAAGTTATTATTTCTTTTGTCTGGGATGCCAGAAACTTCTCAGGGACTTACTGATCAACAAAACTTACTTTTTCAGTGCTAAGGATCGGTTTGTTTGCTCCTTATTCATTTTCATATGATTTTACTCTATCTTGTAAACATTAATGACCCTACACATTTTTCAGAAGTGCCTAAACTTTCTTTTTCATATTCTTAACTAAATATGTAAAGTAACCCAGTCCTAAGTAAAGGTCATCAAACTATGGCCTGACCTGTTTTTCAGCATGCTTGTGACAGGGCTGTAATTCATGTCTGGTTGCTAGGTGGTTCTGAATTACCAGTGGTACCCACATGACTGTCCAACTGGGGACCGTGGGACAGTCTTGCCTGTACACTGGTACACAAGTCGCCTACTGGGACAGGAATGTGTGTATCACCAGTGGTTTATGCTCCATTCTTGGGAGTACAGCGGTACAGCGGTTCCCTTTCGTTTCTATGTTATCAATGGCTGCCCATAAGACTGCTCAAATCTACAATGCTTAATATCCAAGGGAGGCTAGCTATGCAACTTGCCAATCATGTGTGGTAACTGTTGGTAAGAGTTAAAGACTTTATGTATTGATATGAAATTAGTTTTATGTAGATTGTTAAATGACCTTTATTTGCAGCAATGGGGATTTAATCCAGGGCCTTACTAATACTAGGCAAGTGCTGTGGCCCTGAGGCCTTACATTGTTAAATGGATTCATATTCTTAAAAGATGCTTGCATATTTTGTTATATATGTGCACACAGAGGTATATACAAGAATGCATAGGGTCCAGGATATAGCTCAGCAGTATGTGCCTGCCTGGCAAGCGCAAGGTCATGAGTTCGATTCCCAGTACCAAAAAAAAAAAAAGGCAAAACAAAAGTTTGTGCATAACATTGTCTGTTTTGATTATGGTAGATTCCTGAGTGAATGTAATTGACCCCTTCACAGTCCTATAATTTTCCTTACAATTTCCCTTTGACCTTCTGCCCTCAATCTCTTTGCTTCTAGAGGAAGATCGATGTAAACTATACTGTAAGGCTGAGAATTTTGAATTTTTTTTTGCAATGTCCGGCAAGGTGAAAGATGGAACTCCTTGTTCCCCGCACAAAAATGACATCTGTATTGATGGGATCTGCGAAGTAAGAGAACATTTCCACCTTGGGGAATCTGGCGATGCTTATGTTTCTGCTTATGAGTGTATTCCATGAGGGGTGTCATGAGGAGTTGTGTACAGGTGACAGGGAAGGCAGACAAAAACATCCCACGGGGATGGAAATGCCATCTCTCCAACTCCCTTTGATTGTTTTGCATGGTCCCTCTCCAATTATTTTCATTTCTTTTTCACTCTATTTCCCAATGTAATAAGTCAAAATAGTGATACATGTTATATTAATATATTAAGGTAAATGCTTACTGCCTGTTTACTAACCATACTCACTGCACTGTTAAAACCTCACAAGCATATTTTGTACTAGAGCAATTCTTTATTCCTAGATTTCTAGTTATTGTTTTATTTCTCCTTGAGTCCTCACTTTTTCTTGCACCCTAAATTGGACTGGGATCCCTTTGATCCTTTCAGGGTGTATGCGTGTGTGCATGTGTAAGTAATCTTGTCCACAACTTTATGGTTTAGTCAGAGAATAGGTCTGCAGATCTCAGCTGGCATGAGAAGGGAGCGCTTCTCTTCCACTGTCGTGGATGTAGTCTAAGCATTAGCTATGTTCTATGTCTCGCTCAGTCATGCATCTAATAATGGCAGAGGAGAAATGAGCCACAGTCAAATTTGAGACTGCGGTTGTAACCATAAGCTGGACTGCCTCCCTCTCTGAGGTTCTGCAAAGACAGAAAGCCACATACCTCTTGGTTATTCTTAGCTGTTGGCTTCTCTCATCTTTGCTGATTTTCTAACCCTCTTTCCCCACAGCCGGTGGGATGTGATCATGAACTTGGGTCCAAAGCAGTTTTGGATGCCTGCGGTGTCTGCAAAGGTGATAATTCAACTTGCAAGTTTTATAAAGGGCTGTACCTCAACCAGCACAAAGCAAATGGTAAGCGACACTGCGGTCTCATTGTCATCACTGCTGAAGCAAAACTTTTGCAGCTGAATGTGTTTGAGTCACGTTAATATAGTAACTGGGACACAGATGCTTGCTTTTGGCACTTGTACAAGAACAAGGGGGAATAGAAGTATTTTTGGTAAGATGTTTCGTTAGTATATTAGAGTTCAGAAGCATGTTGAATGAATGTCTTCCTACTATGTGGTCAAAGTGTGTCAGTTTGGCTATCATATGCCCCGAAGTTATTTGTTAAAAAGAAAGTGTTATAATCTGGGCATGATGGCACGTTCCTTTCATCACAGCTAATGGGAGGCTGAGGCAGGAGCACAGTGAATTCAAGGCCAGCCTGGGCAATTTAGTAAAACCAATGTTGTCTCAACATAAAAGCACTGAGGATGTTGTTCAGCAGCAGAATGCCTACCTAACATGAGCAAGGGCTGGATTTGATCCCCAGGATTCTAGAAAGGGAAAGACATATTGTAAAGCTCAGAGCATCTGTGCTCACATTGAAAGGTGAGTATTTGAAGCAATTATCTAAACATCTTGACTTTTCAGAATATTACCTATTAAGAACACACATGGCTCTAAATTTCTTCTAGCTGATTTAGAAAGACCAAAGGGAGTTTTTGAAATTGGGGCTTCCGTTGGCCTTGGGAGGAGCAGAGTGTGCTTTCTCTCCTCAGACACACACTTAGTAAGATACTGGGTAAGCCACATCAGCTAGTGTTTTCAGCTCTTGGAAAATGAAATCATGTGTCTTCATAGAGTGGGACTAGATGGCAGCTAGTGATCCAAAAACTCCACGCTAAGCAAACGGACTCTGCATGGCTCTGGGCGTGTCTGGCCCTCCTTCTCTAATGCACAGTGTAGAATCGGGGACTGTCTGTTCTCTCCATTTAGAGTATTATCCGGTGGTCATCGTCCCAGCGGGTGCCCGAAGCATTGAGGTCCAGGAGCTGCAGATATCCTCCAGTTATCTTGCTGTTCGAAGCCTCAGCCAGAAGTATTACCTCACGGGCAGCTGGAGTATCGACTGGCCAGGCGAGTTCCTCTTCGCTGGGACCATGTTTGAATACCAGCGCTCCTTCAACCACCCAGAACGTCTGTATGCAGCAGGACCCACAAACGAGACGCTGGTCTTCGAAGTAAGCCTTTTCAGTTCATTCTTTTCTCAATGCGTTATGCTACGTGTATCCCAATGACGACACATTGAAGAAGCTGAAAGTGCTCCAATATTTTCAGTTCAAATTTGTTTCCCAGGAGGCTGATTTTCAACATGTAAGCAGGGGAAGACAGCACCTCCTTTTGGAGGAAAAAGATACCCAACAGGCTGCTATGAGAATGTGTTGATTTTCACATGAGGATGCCAGCCTTTCACCACTATGCTGGGCTTTCGTGAATGCCAAGGAAGACAGCAGGAATACTTTGAGAACTAGAGACCAAAAACTGTCAGCCCACCCCAGGCATGATGATACACACCTATAATCCCAGCATTTGGGAGGCTAAAGCAAGAGGATTGCCATGAGTTTGAGTCCAGCCAGAGAGATCCTGCCTCAAAACAAAAACAGTCCAACCTATCCTTGCCTTGAGTTGATCTAAAACTTAAATATTAAGAGATAGCTGCGAGAAGGTTATTTGATGG